GACCACAGGGTCCAAATCCCACTGGTGACAGTGACAGAACCACGGCGCCACCGCCACGACCCGAGTTGGTCACGCGCATGTTCCCACTGCGTGACATCGATCCGCAATTGTCGGCAGTTTGCGAAATAATCCTAATCACAGCACACGGTTCAGCCCTATGTGCACAAAGCTGATTCACACCACATAAGGACATTAAACAAGCTCGAGAAGTATATCTCACACCCCACCCCCGCTTCTGAGGGGCATTTTTCATAAGTTCAGTGAGTAGGGTTCCGATCCGCCGCATATGCGCAAAATGTAATGATGAAATAATACATACGAACATCCTAAAGCTTCAAAAGAAATTGTAGAATATCGCAGGGGGAGGGGCACTAACAGTATCGTCCATACTACTTTAAAGTGCTATTTTGTAAACGAGAACGCCAACGTATCAGTGATACACGACACCAAAATAACTACCTGGATAAAAATAGATAGATGGATAGATAGATAGCTAGATAGATAGATAGATAGATAGATAGATAGATAGATAGGTAATGCCAACGGAATCATAGCAAAGTAGGAAAATATGTTGCAGAGGATGTAAACACGAAGAATTCAAAGATTGATTTCTTCTTTCAATGCCAGTTTTGTTATTTATTTTGCTGTACGGGTCACTTCAGCAACAGAATGAATAGGTTTGGCACTAATTTCCATACTGGGTCATGTCTTCTAGTATCTCCTAACCAATGGTGTTTCGAGCCTTATCCGGAGAGACCAAATGGGGACTGGAATTCCCATCAGCTGTCCTATGTCCCCTCTCAAAGCAGTGGTTTGGCCACTCCCATTGTCTTTTCCAACAATGTTCAGCAATCCTAAATAAATTACGACACAGCAAACGTTGTTCGAGAGTAGGTGACGCGTGATCAAACCACTTTATTTGAGTCGATATTTGGGCTTAAGAGTTAATGGCGTACCACACACGATGCTACCACCACACACCTGTGACAGACAACAGGCAGTGGCGCTCCAAGACCGTATTACAAAACCAACCCGTATGCTCGAACGGGAATAAATGGCTTTACTAGCAACGTTACTACTACTACTACTACTACTACTAATGCTGATGATACTGCGACCAATAACCAGTAAACATCATTGATTGTGTTACTCCGATTTACCGGTTTGGCTTAGGAACCGATTCTGTTATAACGCTTGCAAGTTATTGGGAGTGCTTGTATCTCACCGAACCTTTTGGGTTCTGTTTGTTTTATCTTGCCGGTTTATCTTTAACCCCGACCCACAGAAGACCTGTCTGCCAGTGTTTCCTCCCCCCCCACACACACACCCTATCTCGATCACCTGGCTTTCCGTACCGCCTTCCCTCCACCGTCGCAGCAACGCCTCGTATCGTCGAGGGAAATCATGTCGCGCATCCGTCTACTGAACTGCGCTTCTCTGTTCCGGTAGAGCCCGGATTACGTTCGCATTACACTAACACGACATATTGATTCTACTAAAAGTTATACGTTCATCAGAGAAATCTAATCAGTGAACAACGAATGGACTTTTCGCGCGCTCGCACACATACACACACACACACACATTGGCGCGTTGCTTTCTCTTTCCGTTTATCTCTCCCACTCTCACTCTCATTTGATCTGTGTTCTTCAGTCTTCCTCCGCTGTCTCTTACGCAGTCACTGCACAAGGCCGCGCCCGGTTTCCAGATAGGGAACATGGCCCACTCACCCATCCCTGCCCGATTTCTCCCGTTCACTTTTATTTCCTGATTGGTCCATCATCCTGCCATTTGATTGGTTTATCTTCAGCCGGACAACTGCGGACACTCGTAAAATGTGTCGTACGCGCATTCCTGAGGTGCTCTCGATATGGGGTGAGGGTTGACGGAATTGCTGAAACCTTGTTCACAGTAGGTGAGTACTCCTGACGCTGCATGCATCATTATTATTATTATTCGAACTACCTATTGCGCGGAAAAAATTGTAGCCTCACACATGCACACACACACACACGGGTGCATTAATAGAAGTGTGCACAAGCCATCCCCGCCCGGTTTCGTGCGTCCTAGCCACTTTCTCTCGCTCTCTTCGCCACACACACACATTCACACACGCACACACACACACACAACTCTGCCCGGCTGTTGTGGTCCGTTTTCTGGATGTTTGGGACAATATGGCTTGATTCACCTCNTCACAGTCCACAGACACACGCGGGGAGGGGAGAACGGAGGATGAGTGAACAAGTGAACGAGAGATGCAGACAGAAGAAGCCTGATTGTTCAATTCTCTGCTCACTCACTCAACACAACTAAGATGGATTTACCAGTCGATTACCCCCACCCCCAACTCAACCCACTCTCCCCGTCACCTCGTTTCCGATAGCAACCTGATTCTTTCCTACCCGGACAACAGCAACTGAAAAATGAAAAGTAGGCATTAGTTATCCTGTCTCCTCTGCGAAAGACAATCAAGTTCAATCGTTCACCGACCACATTACAGGTAAGACTTATTAGATTTGTGCTTGAATTGCAAAGATACGTTCAAGGAACAAGGTTATACTCACATACATCAGTTTCCACTTAGTAAATTTTTATGCTATTTCTTTTTCAGGCTGTATCTCTTTCGTGTTTGAAGCTGACCGATGTGGCTGAATTCGTTCATCCCGGGCAATTTGTCTCTGCCCATGCCCTCGATGATCACGTCCAGCAATTCACTACTAGGCCCATATACAGCGTACAATGAATGCACTCAGTTTGCCGAGAACTGGTCCAAGTTGTGTGATCTAAAACTCGCGAAAGACCCGTTACTCGGGTTCGGCATGGTACTACCACCCTGGTTTCTACTTCAATGGTTGAGGGCATTACACAAAACTACAACAAGTACGGCATCTGATGAGGATCGATCAATCCTGGCACGGATCATCCCAACCTACGACACACCGTTAGACCTGCGTACCAACAGTGAGGTTCTGCCTGCGCGGAAGTTCGTCCCCAGAGCAGTCGTAACAAAGAGTTTCGAAACGAGTGATACGGAAACGATGAGTTCATGTGGATCTAATGTCGACGTGATCGCCAGCGGAAAAATCAGTTTAGGCAATCCGATGAACCCATTGGAACAGGGAACCTGGACAACATCCACATGCTCACGACGCTCGAGTTCCAGTGAGAAATGCCCGATTCTATTGGAAAAACTTGCTGCGCCCCAAACCCAACCGAAACGTCTGTATACGGGGCTGAGGCGCGCACGACGTGTGACACAACTGGCCGGGAGTACAACTCAGACGACGGGATTGGGGAAACAACCGGTGACCCGGTGTCATCAGTGCAAAGTCCTATTCCCGACCCTGATGGAACTGAATGCACATTTCATGGTGGAACATGCGTTCGTGTTACGGACCGAATTGGAACATACCAAATCGTGGAAGTCACACGCGGTGGAGACAATGTGCTTTCTGGTAAGACATTAATGGCACTCATTATGCTTTTTCTAAGCTCTGAGCATTCTATTCGAAATGGTCCCAGTGAACTGAATATCAATCATTGAAGATGATATTTGATTAAAGTTGATGCAATAATTTTGGTCAGCTGCGGTTTAGGTTGATTGAAGCAGGGCGACATACAACTGTATCGTCCATGTCACCTGCCTGGAGATTAAATCCCGGACAGGGTGTTCGATGTGCAGTATTCATGGGATAAACCCCGTATTTAGGGCTTCCTGATTGTGCGGTTGACTGAATGAGATAATAGGAGATCATGTCGTGAAAATGAAGCTCAAATAGGAATAAAATACAGGCCATCAAAAAGCGTCTCGTCAGTGCTTCACCATACTCGCGAGATGCAACACACGAAACCGGTAGTGAACACAAAATATCCGGCCCATAATGTTTTCATTGCCAAGATAGACAGACGCTTGAGCTAACAGCAGAATAGAGCCAATTGAGATCGCTTTTCCGTAAATCGTTCTGTCAATGGACCCACTGGCATTAGATTTCGATCTAACTCTGGCGTGTGTGTAAAATGATAAAAGACGAGAAGATAATGGTTCAATATTAAAAGTAAACAGGCACGAAAATTGGTCAGATTACTGATCGGAACCATGCAGCAGTTGATTATAAAAACAGTGTGAGACTAATGGGGGGGGGATTTGATTTAATTTCAAAAAAGGAATTCAGCGTGTCATAGAATAAATGAAGTGTGAACTGAAAAGCTAGAAAGCACTGTTGGACAGCTGTTTCGTCCTGATTGGATTGCTTCATTAGTGCGAATCCATCGACCCAAATGGGGATAATTTGTTGGCAACATATTGAAGATCGGTTCTCGTAACTCGGGTGAACTTAACTCCATTTCGTCTGTTCGCCGAGCTTGACAATTGGTTTGCAAACGTTTCATCATCAGCTAGGGTGACATCTTCAGTGCTCATGAAGTGGCTACTTCATTAATGTGTTATCGTTCATCGTACTGGCCTACGTAAAACATCCACTGGTCATCGCCAG